TGTGTGTGTGTGTGTGTTACCCAGGTGGCTGAGCTGGTGAAGGAGCTGCGCTGGGAGCTGGACCAGCTGCTGGAGGATAAAATCAGGAACCCGAGCATGGACCTGTGCAGCTGCCCCCGCGGCTCCCGCATCATCCACATGATAGTGCATCTCATCTCTACACAGTAGCTCTGCTACGTAACGCCCCATCTTTCCACCCTTTTAGACACCCTCAAGGGCTCAAATGCATGGGGCTCTGCAGTAAAAATGTCTTTCTGCTCCTGCATCACTGCCACAAAGTTGCTCTATTAATTCAACAACCCTGAATCTGGTTAAAGTTTGTGTTGTGTGTCCATTACTGACAGATCAGCCGGGCAGATGCTGTACATTCTCCACACCATCCTGCTGCCACCCGACACTTCAATATCAGTTTACATGAAAAACAAAGCTATTATTGTCATGCTGCACTAGAGGCTTTTTAAAGCAAATTTTGCCTTTTAAAAGGGGAAAAAAGGCTCTATGCAGTTAATCCACAAACCTCCATTATTGTTATTGCTGGAATATAATATTTGCTATTTTCACAAGACTTATTTAGACAATTATGAAATACAAGAATATAATTTTTGGATGCCACTCTACTACTGTATGTACAGCAAATTAGTACACAACCGATTGTTGAATTTGATGTCATTTGTGTACAACGCATTTTTATTTTGGGTTGTGCGTGTCTCGCTCACAACTGAGTAGTTTGTTGGGTCCATATTGGATTTCTTATTCTCACAGTGGCTGCATACTTGTTATGGTTGTGAATATTTATTTGTACTGCATGATTGAGAGATCCAAGAGCTTCTGCATGGTAGTCAGTTGTTTTACATTGACTGAATGTATTTAAATGTTACAGTGATGTCAGAACTACATTTTCACAATGTGAATGCAAGGGCTTTTAAAATCAGGAGAATTTGGAGAGAATTGCCAAAGACTTTTAAAGCTTATTGTCTTAAGTGATGAATTCCACTGCACACTGCACTAAAAATAAAAAAAGGCAAAGATGGGTAGCTGTTGGCTTTTATTGAAACTATAACTGATTCAGTTCTTGTCTTTTACACTCCTCTCTTGTTGAGCAATGTGTTGTATTTGTAGCCTAGCTGCATCTCCAATGCAACAAAAGAATTAACAGGCTTGTGGGTGACGCCAACCCCTTCATTCATGAGTCTGTCCCGTCTCTACGACAACAGGACATAAACAAATGGGGTATCACTGTCCCAGTTGAAGCCATTCAGTTGCCACGTACAACAGTGCCAATTCCAGAACTGGTAAGATAAACGTATATATTTTTAATTTCTGACTATTTAAAGCGTTGAAGGTGTTTTGAGGCTGCACTTTATGTAGTACGTAGCCATTAAACCATTTTGTTTATATATAAAAACATGTTTGTTATAGCATTCTTATGAGTATCTCATTTTACAGATGGGTAAATAATCTCTCATATTGGAAGTAACCTTGACATCTTCCACTATGGTAAAGTATATTTATCGTAGACTACCAGGACTATTCAAACTGTTCAATATACTCAGTGCAGTGGAACCAAACCTAAACCACTTTGTATTTTATTTTGAAGCCCACAAAATCCAAAAAATCAAGGTCCCACAGTTCAAGGCCCGCCAAGAAGACTGGGAGTCCAAAAACACGCAAAAAGAGGTCCTCTAGTGCCAAAACCACCAAGACAGAGGTGGACATCCTCAGCCCAGCAGCCATGGAGAATGTCTACTACATTTCTCACAATGCAGTGGACTGTCTGGAGTTCAGAGGCTTTGGGTGGCCACAATCAAATAAAAAGAAGAAGAAGAAGGGAACAAAACGGAAGAAGAAAAAGTAGATCAGCATTTTTGCCAAACCTAAGAGAAATTTCCCCGTTTTTTGATTCAAGTGATTATAACTAAAAAAACATCTTGCTATTGGCACCATCTGGTGGACACATTTGTAAACAGGTTTTAAATGCTGGAACCAGTGCAAGGCAGCAATGTGGATGTGTTTTGTCTTTCTTCCACAAATTCATACAAAACTGCTAAATTGTGCCAGTAAAACTCGACTTCATTCATGAGGCAAAGACGTACAAATTAATTATCAACAACTTTAATTGTAAGATGAATGTTTCAAAATAAAAAAAGTTTGGCAGTTATGGATAAGTCGGAAGGTTGCAAAGTGAAATGTCTGAACTTTGTGGAAAACAACACACAAGAGAAACTGCATGTTCTATTAATATTTAGTTTGGAGAACATTATATACACCTGATGTGGATATGAGTGAATGTCATGTGTAAGTTAAAACACCACAGTGCATCCCAGAAAAGGCCAGCTAACAGTGCCATGATACTGCAGTTAAAGTGATCCCACCAGTTTCTTGTAATATTCTTTAAATCCAGTCTTTGCGCAATTTATCTTACAAAAATAGGCTACAATGAGAACACGCCTATAAAAACTAAGGGAAGCAACAAATACGGTTGCAGGCACTGTTAATATTCTTATACATATTTTACATGGTCAGCTCCTTTTATCAAATGCATGCTTGTTTACACCACAACCCTGTGAAATAAATAGTTTCTCTCCAAAGTCCATCTTTTCTTGCTTTCAACATGGTCCCCGCTTTGCTCACTCTGGGGGCTTCTTCTTGGCCTCCACGTCTTTTTTAAAGGCTTCGATTTTCTTGGCTATGTTGGGAACCTAGAAGGGAAAATGCTGTACAGTCAATACAGTTTATTATGTACAGCTAAAACTAATACAGTCTAATACAATAGTCCATTCATTTATCATTTATTTATCACTTTACAACCCCTTCCCTTTATGTTACTTACAAAAAACGTGAAACAGAAAATTATAATGAAGGTTACAATGTTTGTGTTGCAGTTTTAGAAAGGTGTTGACTCAACATTAAAGAAATAATGTTTATTTATGTGAGACAAGCAGATAGCTTCACTAACTCGTTACACTTAAAGACATTTAAAAATAAGATTAAACAAACTCACATCATAGTTTTGAGCCAGGTACATCCCCACAACATTTCCCAAGGTGAAGCCAGCCTGCAACATAAAAAACAAATGTCACTCAAGGCGGAACCATCAGATACAGTAACCCCTGAGTGTCCTGTTAGCGGCCATTTCAGGGACTATGTAGTTGTTTACAGGGGCTACTTTCAATTAGTTACCACCACAGACATATCAATATAATTATATGTCTATGGTTACCACCGTCAGGACTTTTGACAGCGAGTTATCATTATGCTAACACGTCAGCTAGGGTAGTTTCGCCTCATCCCGGCAGAGGTCGATGTCATGTTACCGTCAGTTAAACTCACCAGGAACTGCAGCATGGTGGAGTAACGGAGTAACAGAGCACTGGCAGCGGCAGACTAACCTACTGACTCAAAATCAGGCCGTGAGTTAAAGGTTAGAGGGTCGAAATCAACCAATCTGCTCGGCTAACGAAGCTAGCTCGCCCGTCATCAACAATCCCTACACGCATGCGCGAGAAATAAACTCTCGCGTTATCTTCGAAGCGCGTTTACTGTAGTCTTCCCCCCGCCTGAGCTTGTTGTTGTCGCCCGCTGGAGAAACTACAACTCCCGACACCGCACAAAACCTCTCGTCCATCCAGTGGGTGTTGTTGCAATGGTGGTGTCGGTGGGACATTGAATGACTTTGGCTCCATCACGAAAATAGCTGGTTATATTCATTTTATTGATAAACCGCGAGCAATGGAGGCTCTTATCCCCGTAGTGAACAAGCTCCAGGATGTGTTCAACACCGTGGGGGCGGATATCATACAGCTGCCGCAGATAGCAGTAGTGGGGACTCAGGTAAAATGCTCTCTGTGCATTTTGTTTTACAGCGGCTGTCAGGCTAGCTGGGTAACCTTGCTTTACCGCCATGCCTGCACAGATAAAGAGGACATTATTAGAATAAATGTGAGAGTAATTAGAGTAATGTGTCAAATGAACTGAGGCTGCGCAGAGGTCTTTGTAGACTCAAAGCTCTGCTAAAAAAATCCACATATTAAGTCTGCTCTGGCATTGGCGGTGGAATCTATTTTGATCTTCAATCAGGGCTATTTTAAGATCCTCATCCACACACTAACCTCTGTTATCCAAAACCAGGTCATTGCTTGAGGAGAAGACAGGTGCAATTATCTGTTGGCTGTAGCCCTGATCCAGCATGGTTCCATATGAGGGCTATGCTGGATCTGAGTGTGTTAAATCAGAAGGTAGACCTTGTTTTTGTCCCTCCTCGTCTTAACTTGTGTCTCTGTCTGTGTTTTGTGTCTCCAGAGCAGTGGAAAGAGCTCAGTGCTTGAGAGCCTGGTGGGCAGGGACCTGCTGCCCAGAGGGACTGGTGTCGTAACCAGGCGACCGCTTATCCTCCAGCTGGTCCATGTGGATCCTGGAGATGCAAGGAAAAATGATGAGAGTGGTAAGCATCAAAATCCCTCTAATCTCAGCAGTGTATCAGTCCACGGTAGTGTTTGGATTTTGCTTAAATCCTGTGTATGATGTGTCAGGATTCTTGCGTAAATCATTAGAAATTTTAGGCTAATAAACACACATGGCGAAAAAGAAACATCATATTTTTAATATCAAGCATGACAAAAGTAATAGCATTTGCGGGTGCCCGGTATAGAAGCACCAGTTTTAAAGTTCTGTCTGTCACTGTCTTTCTAATCACTTGCAGATGCCAGGGTGTGAAAATGCACAAAGCTTCATAAAGGTGCATTAAACAGGTGTCTCCACATTCAATAACCTGGATTAGCTTCTTAGTTCTGTTTCCTCCCTCTCCTCCTCCTCCTCAAAACCACACCTGAAATTCCAACTGTCTTATTTACTGGATCAATAACTGTCAGGCGTCGACCCTTGCATTAGCCGTGCTTGCGCAGAGTAGTTGTCTTTCAAATTATAACTGTAAACCCACGCTGTTTTATTATGTGTCACAGGGAGAGAAGGTGAAGAGTGGGGCAAGTTTCTGCACACAAAAAATAAGGTATGAATTCAGATTATGATTAACACATTTAATAAATACTCTTTGACACTTTCCTGTCTTTATCTTATTTTTGTTTTTGCAGATCTACACAGATTTTGATGAAATCAGGCAAGAAATTGAAAATGAAACGGAGCGAATATCAGGGAACAATAAGGTGAGACATCATTCTGTATGTTTTCTAATACAGACGTTTTGCATGTGTGCTGTTAAGCTGCAGGAACGAGTCAACTATTAATGAAGCACATCAACAGATGTTAGGCAAAGTCCTATACATTTCAAAGCAAAAAATATCAGTAGACAAAACACTGAAAAAAATACCTTATTCACTATCAAGAGACGATATTTCAGGTCACTGCAGTAGGTGCTGCTATTATCTTCAGATGAGAGCGGGATGGAGGATTTTTTTTGACGACTTAGTGATAGAAGGCGAGGATGAAGGAGATCTGAAGCCTTACAAAGATCTTAAATAATAACAACATACTATAAGCTATATGTATAAATAAACAGCTCATTATTAACCACTGTAGCAGCAAATGATGAGCACATTCTGTCGCTAGCTGCAGGCGAACCAGGTATTAGTGACACATGTCCAGAGAATTAAAAAGAATCCAGACGCAAAGAGATGAAAGCATCTCTTTTTTTCCCCAAATCTGAGAATATGAGTAAAGGCTTGACTTTGGATGTAGCCCTGAGCTGAGCAAACTGGATTTCACAGCAGAGCTTATATAGTGTGTTCATCAAATCTGTGACCACAGTGGAAAATCACACCAACATGTTTTGGCATGTAGCTGAGGGCTACTGGGGTTTGGAGATGGAAGCTGAAAGGAGGGCAAATAGAAGAAAGACTTCTCATTAAGCTTTGTGCAACTTTGGGTTACTTACATGACCACGGTTCTCTGAGTAGCATGAGTGAGTGTCTCTCTGGGAGCGGCCTCTTTGAGACCTCATCAGAAGTTCTAAGTGTGTCAGTGTCAGTGAGGATAGAGACACTCCCCCTTCAATTAAGCTCACACTACACCAACAGTCAGTCAAAAACTTCTTCTTGCTGCCTGCAAAAGTTTCAACTCAGCTGTTTCTTTGGGACTTAGCCTGAGTGTCCACCACCTCTGGCGCAAAGTTAGTTACTGTACACGTTGTTCTCAGTCCCTAAGGTAGTTCAGAAGAACCGTTCTGTCCTCACACAGTGTTAGCCTTTGCAATTAGCCCAACTGAATAGCAATTCGCTCAGATATCAATACCTCCTCAGAGAGTGAGCTAACGTTAGCTGCTTCCGCTTGCTAACAAAACAGAGCAGTGACACTATCTCTGCGTTAGCTTCTTACCTTTAATTTGCAACACTCCCAAGCTAACTATAGCAGACACCTTGCTGCCGTTTGTGCCTCATAATAGCATTACATTTGAGTCACAGAACTAAGCATCAATTTCTCTGAAAAATAAACTCATGGCAATCTGTGAGCTGTTCTGAATATATTAATATTAACCTCAAAGACTAAAAAACATTCTTTCTTCGGCACCATAAAAACAATAGGCCTTTTTCACAGCCTTTAAAAAAAAAAGAAAAGTAGGGTAAACACAAGTGTCATCAATGATACAAATGAAGACTCCATTCAATGTTCCATTTAGTGTAGCAGAGCCTTTCCAGTGAGCCAACATGCACAATAGCAGCACCCTTACTCTGTTTGACCTGAATGGAACGAAACGTATAATTCGTAACACCTGTGTTTACCCTACTATTTCGTGGCTGCTGTGATAAAGGCCAATTTGTAAACTTTTTCTCAACTCAATTTTTAATCCAAAACAAAGATGGAGCTGGTGGTCACCTAGCTTGGAAACAGAGTTGCAGCTTGGGAACATTTTTAAAAATCTTTTTGATTGTGCAGCGGGCAGAATCTTCTTCATCCATATGATTAGAACAGGATTCCTGAAATACCTTCATAACAGCCATAACTGTTGTTAAACAAACATCCCCGGGTATGTCGAGAACTGGATACTCAGCTCTGTTAATGTGATCAAATGTAACGCTGACACACGACGGGCACAAATAGGGGCTATAGTGCACACTATTACACAGCAGTGTCAAAATAGCATTGTTCAAATATTACTGATAATATTATTATTATCATCAGAATTGACAGCCTGTTGGGAAAAAAACCAAAAGATGTACCGCCAAAAAATCTTATTTTTAACTTTAAAACAGTGCTAATCTGTTAAATATGCACTACACGTCTCTTCTTTTCTTGTCCCTTTTGCAGGGGATCAGTGATGAACCCATTCATCTGAAGATATTTTCTCCTCACGTTGTCAACCTCACACTGGTGGATCTGCCAGGAATCACTAAGGTAACACGTGCTGTACTTCCTGCTTCCTTCTCCCCAAGACAAGGCTTTGATCATCTCAACCCTCCAGGGAAATTTGTTATACAACGCTCAAAAAGCAAGATTTACCAGATATGCCTGGTCACTTGTGTTAATTTCCCTGTCTGGTCGATGCTTTTGTGTATTTCGTATTCGTAGGACCGCAGGGAATTAGCAACTCAATCTTAATGCTTCTGAACCTGCTGTCAGAACCCAAGAGTCTCCAGGCTTTGATTCCAGCCTCATTAGTCCTTCCACTCTGGTTGAACATGTGTTAATCTGAAAACCCCCTCGCTGTAGTTGCTAACGAATCAAATTGACACGTACTGTGTTCTTTGCTTTTAATTGGTATTGTTCCCTTCAGGTGCCCGTGGGTGATCAGCCTAAGGACATTGAGGTTCAGATAAGAGATCTAATCCTGAAGCACATCTCTAACCCCAACTGTATCATCCTGGCTGTCACTGCGGCGAACACAGACATGGCCACCTCGGAGGCCCTCAAGGTGGCCCGGGAGGTCGACCCCGACGGTAAGAAACACTGAAGAAGAACATCCAAAACCATTATGATCATCAGATTTTTTAAAGTGTAAATCAGCCTTTTATTAGCCTCTAGTTTCACCTGTGAAGAAAACAGTCAATGGTAAAAAGATGACTATTACAAGGTATGTGTTGGTAGCTATTATGTGAATGAATGTGACTCAACAGGCAGGAGGACGCTGGCTGTGGTGACTAAGCTGGACCTGATGGACGCGGGCACTGATGCTATGGATGTACTGATGGGCCGAGTCATTCCTGTCAAACTGGGCCTCATTGGAGTGGTCAACAGGTCTGAAAAGCTATATTTACTGTACCGAATACACTATAAAACAGTCCATCACTCCTAATAGAGATGAGTGTGTGATAATGGAGATGTGAGGCTAAATAGAGCTGTAGAGAACAGAGATGAGTGTTCTGTAATACATTTTTAATGCCGGCGTATCGATATGTATTGATAAAAACTGCCAGCTGTATCATCCTTCAGTTCCGCTTAATGAACATCACTAACCATTATTTTCCAGATACACTGTTAGGATATTCAGTACATTGTTATTGCATACAAATATAAGATCATGATGTATGGAGAGCCAGGATGTGTGCAAGTTCTTAAAAAGTCTTAAATCCAATCATCTGAGGTTTATATATATTATTTATGTTTATAGATATTTAATGGTCTTTAATATGATTTTGACAGATCTTAAAAATGTATTGGATTAATGAAGTTAAAGTTGTAAAAGGTACATTTGTAAATGTGTATTTATCATGCTGTAACAACTACAAAACGAAACCATTATGGAACCAGTTTTGGTTGTTCCTTGTTCTATCAGTATGAACATGAAATAGGTCTGAAATTGCGTTCATAATGATCTTAAAAAGGCTTTAAATTGAACCTGTTGACACCCACAGAAACCTGTACTGTAGATAGATAAAAGATTGTTTTCCATACATTTACTTTGAATCCCCTGTATTGCCCAGGACTAACTGCTGGCATATTGTTGTGTTTTAACTTCAAGGAGCCAGCTGGACATCAACAATAAAAAGTCTGTGGCCGACGCCATTCGAGATGAGCATGCTTTCCTGCAGAAGAAATATCCATCACTCGCCACCAGAAACGGAACCAAATACCTGGCCAGAACCCTTAACAGGTACATGTGATCATATTATTATAGTCATCTTTTCTAAAGCACAAAGCCTCATGATTTCTTTGGTGTAAACGCCTTTAAGACCCCAGTGTCACTGTGATAGCGGATGCTTATTGTGCAACAGGGCTGCAGACAAAACAGAAAAATACAATTCCAAAGAAAGATATGAACACTCACGGCGCTGTGGGATTATACTGAAAGTGGTGTTTCGAGCTAAACTCTCACCTGATAATGGCGTTAGATGAAGGATTTCAAAGGTATTATTACATTTTATAGCAATACCGTCCATCTGTTGTTGAGACATTTAACAAAAAAAACTAAAATGTGAAACATTTTTACCATGTTTGTGCTGTAAAATACCATTTAAATTAATGAACGTATTACTTAGACAAGTTAAGACCTTACTTTGTATTACTTTTCAGAAGAGACACGGTTTTATTATTATATGCCACTTTAAGGCAAAATAGAGAGCAAAACTGAGGTGAATTTAATACCCACAACCCTTCTTTATACTGTTTGTGCGTGTGTGTCTATCTAAACAAACAAACAAATAAAATTCTTAATTTTTCCAGCACAGGTATAAGTAAGGACAGAACATGTTACCAGGACACATTTCAGTTCTGTCAGCATCAGCAGCCCTGTTATTAAACACCTTTCATTTAGACAATTGATGTTCAGCTTGACCCTTAACAGCTCAGAATATTGTTTTACATATCTGCACAACAACTGAACCCTCTGCCCTTTCCTGCCATAATGTCAGGTTACTGATGCATCACATCCGAGACTGTCTCCCTGAGCTGAAGACACGGATCAACGTGCTGGCAGCCCAGTATCAGTCCCTGCTCAGCAGCTACGGCGAGCCCGTCGAAGACCAAAGTGCCACCCTGCTCCAGCTCATCACCAAGTTTGCCACAGAGTACTGCAACACCATAGAGGGCACGGCCAAATACATCGAGACGGCAGAACTGTGAGTACAAGGCGCCTCTCCTCCGCTCGGCCACATGGTGATGCTGTTGATCCAGCTCAGTGAAAATGAGCAAAACAACTGCATTGGTTTCATCATTTAATATAATACAACTTGTAAGTTGAAGCACGCACGGCCTCTGTGAGGGAAGAGCTGACAGGAGAGGGGGCCACGGGGTTCACATCACAGCTAATATCCCCCCGCTGCTATTTTTCAGGTGCGGCGGAGCCAGGATTTGTTACATATTCCACGAGACTTTTGGCAGAACATTGGAGTCTGTGGATCCTCTGGGAGGGCTCAGCACCATAGACATCCTAACAGCCATAAGGAACGCAACCGTGAGTGCTGCTGCACTGTCTCATAAATGTGACATCATTAGGGGCACTGGAGTTTGTCCTGTCATCGTTAGTTCAGCGAGTTCACGTAAAACAACAGGAACATGACTTATTTTTGTAAGATGCAGTCTTATTCTGTTGCTTGTGTTTGCTGCGGGTAATATTCACTAACCTGCAGCTCCCTCCATCCCCCCAAATCAGGGCCCGCGTCCGTCGCTGTTTGTGCCCGAGGTTTCCTTCGAGCTGTTGGTGAAGAAGCAGGTGAAACGCCTGGAGGAGCCCAGTTTGCGCTGCGTGGAGCTGGTCCACGAGGAGATGCAGAGGATCATTCAGCACTGCAGCAACTACAGCACGCAGGTAATCAGCTCTGTCAAAGGAGGGATCTCATTTATTTAACTTCCCCTCGCGTGCAGACATCCACATTCAGAACGTTTTGTCCCGCAGGAGCTGCAGAGGTTCCCTAAACTTCACGAGGCCATCGTGGAAGTAGTCACCTCCCTCCTGAGGAAGAGGCTGCCCATCACCAATGAGATGGTACCATCATCTGATTTTTAATGCCATCGCCTGCAGTCATTATCTTTAAGTATAATGAGACTCAGAACATTTGATTGGTGACTGAAGTTGTCCTCTCTCCTTTCATAGGTGCATAACTTGGTTGCAATAGAGCTGGCCTACATCAACACCAAACATCCAGACTTTGCAGATGCCTGTGGGGTCTTGAATAACAATATAGAGGTCTGTACTCTTGCCAGAATACCCTGAAATACATACATCTTTATGGTAGAATAATGAGAGAATAAAAGCAAATAAAAGCAATACTTTGAATCTGAATACTTAATTGTGAAATTTAACTACTAATACTGAAATATAATGCAACTGAATGTATAGCAATTGAATATTTTACTTTGAAAACCATCAGTCTGAATTATTATAGGTACATAACTTCAAGGTTTTCAATTTGGAATACCTGACCTTTTTTCTTTTTTTGTTGTTCATAAATTTAGATAGAGAATGCAAGTGTGATTAATATTTAATCAGAGTTGACAAAAAGGTTTGGTGAAAGTCAGAAGTCAAAATTTACTTTGAAGAATTCAGACTCTTGTATTTAAGGCAGATTACACACTTGGATCGTACGACTGGCAGAATGAGACCTGATAGGACAGAGGTTGGATGTTTAAATTGGAATTTTCCATCTTATATTTTGGTGTCTGAAATTCACCAATAATCCAGTTTTTCACCTGAGTTGAATTTTGAGATCATACATTTGAGTTGAGTTGAATTTGACCAACCCGAAAAGTTTTTCAAATAGTGGAATTTAAACCACATAAATTCGGACAACCTATACATTCAAAATTCTATTAAGAAATTCTTCTTCTGTTAAGTTGTGATTAAATTTAATTATGTTTTCAGTATTATATTCAGTTTATATTATAATATTTAAATTATTACAGCCTTTCTTTGCTTCCATAGAACACTTTATTTTAGGTAATTGCATTTTTATTATTTAGGAATCATTAGTCTGAGTATGTAAAAAATTGCAGGCGGGAGACAAAATGTATTTTAATTAGCAGAATGGTCAGTAAAACATTTCTTTAGGAAGTTGGATAACTCCTTTCTCTGTGTTTTCACTACATTTACTTACATACTTTTTTCAGATGTGTTGAAGTTTTTGTAATTTTGCCAAATCCATCATTGGTACCAGCACATGTTCTTGTGTTTGTAGGAGCAAAGAAGAAACCGGATGAGAGAGCTGCCCGCTGCAGTGCCCAGGGATAAGGTAAAATATATTTCTATTTTAAAATATAATAACAGGAGCTCCTCTGTTCCAATATGCGGTTGCAGTCTGCCTGGTCCCGAGTATAAAGGGGACTTGTGCAGTATTAATCACTCATAGCACTACAGGATGAGGATCTGTGAAGCGAATGCCTCGGATAGTTTCCATCGAGGAATTTTATCCCACATCTCCTCTCTCCTTCTCTCCTCCCTTCAAATGACTTTCGACTGCCAAGCTCCTTTCCTCTGTCTTTCCACATTTCTTCTCAGTGGTTTTTAAGAAAAAAAATTCTCTCTCCATTCCTGCTCTCATATTCCTGCTAGTCTGTTGGCAAAGGCCCGGCTGGCCCAACTGTGGTTTCTGGCGAGCCCCCTGCGTCTGGAGCCGACATGGACGGTGCCAAGGTGGGCACGTACGCAGCTCGCTGGCTCTGTGTGGGGCTGGCTGTGGTGGAGCATGGATGGACGGATGGATGAATGGATGGACAGATGGATAAATGGATGGACGGACGGATGGATGAATGGATGAATGAATGGACGGATGGATGAATGGATGAATGAATGGACGGATGGATGAATGGACGGATGGACAGATGGATGGACAAATGGATGGATGGAAGGATGGATGG